TTGGGACCACCTGAAATTCAAGCATACCCCTTACTGCCTTGCTGTCAGCCTCATTATTCTGTTTAGTGACAGATTCTTCTTTACAGGTACTTGTGCTATCAGGGCTCTGAGCAGTTCATGGCAGGTTATCTTTGCATAGCCTTCGAGTATTTTAGAAGGATTTGGGGGAGGGTTTATTTAAAAAAAAAAAAAGAAAAGTGGGGGGAAGGGAAGCTGAGTTATAGTATCCCATTACCGTAGTTTAAAGATGATTATATTGGTAGAAATGCAGTGCCTTGTTGCATTCCAACATTCTGAGTCATCTGAATAGATCATTCAGAGTCGCTGCAAAGTGTGTTCAGTTAAAAGGGGAATTCTTAATCTTTTTGCTGTGTTATTACAACAAAACAACAGGCTTAATTAACCATAGCAACTTCATCTCAGCTAGCTTTCACCTCTGTTAAGGTGAAATTTCTACCTTTTAACACAGAGCGTGCTCTGTTTCTACTGTGAGGTGGCTGCTTCCTCACCATGCTCTCCCTCAGCCTTGGAAAGAGGAGACAATACAGAGGAAAGTCTATGCTCTGTGAGTGTGTATATATATTTGTGTGTATGTATATATATGTGTGTGTGTGTGTGTGTAGTAAATGTAAATAAACCCCCCCTCATTCCAATGTGCTGCTTGGTGGGTTGACCTTGGCTGGACACCAGGTGCTCACCAAGCCGTTCTGTCACTCCCCTCCTCAGCAGGACAGGGAAGGGAGAAAATAAGATGGAAAAAAAACCCTTGTGGGAGAGGATAAAGGTAGTTGAATAAAGCAAAAGGAAAGGTTGCATATGGAAGCAAAGGGAAAGAAAAGATTTATTCTCTACTTCCTATCAGCAGGTGATGTCCGGCCACTTCCCAGGAAGCAGGGCTTCAGTAGGTGTAACAGTTGCTTCAGAAGACAAACATCGTAAATAGCAAATGCCCCCCTTCCTCCTCCTTTCTCTCAGCTACTTATTGCTGAGCAGACATCATACGGTATGGAATGTCCCTTTGGTCAGTTTGGGTCAGCTGTCCTGGCTGTGTCTCCTCCCAAGATCTTGCCCCCCCCCCAGCCAGGGGGGATGCTGGAGAGACAGCCTTGGTGTGTGCCAGCTCTGCTCAGCAGTAGCCAAAACCCTGGTGTGTTACCAACACCTTGCTGGCTACCGGTACACAGCACAGCGCTGTGAGGGCTGCTGTGGGGAAAGGTAACTCCAGCTCAGCCAGAGACGGTACATGCTTCAAGTTATTGCTTTCTTGTAGCAAGAAACTATCAACTCTTTTCATAGTTTGATTATAGCTTCTATTTCTGAAGAATTATAAGGAAAGAATCAGAGATGAGGCAAGGTATCTGTCATTCAAACTATAAAGCAGTGCAGAATCTCTTTAAGGCAAGTGCCTCAATTTACTTCATAACACTGATATTTAACTTAAAATGGACTCTTCTGTTTTATAGGAATAATATTAATACTTTGAAATGAAAGTTTTAAATGTTTTATTGTTGTCTGTTTCTGGTACATAGTGTTGATCTTCTCATTAGATTTTTCTAGTGATGCTAGTGGGCACATCATGCATAGATTTCACAGAATCACAGAATGGTAGGGGTTGGAAGGGACCTCTGGAGATCATCTAGTCCAACCTCCCTGCTAAAGCAGGATCACCTAGATGCAGCAGGTTGCACAGAATGGCGTCCAGGTGGGTTTTGAATATCTCCACAGAAGGAGACTCCACAACCTCTCTGGGCAGCCTGTTCCAGTGCTTGGTCACCCTCAGAGGAAAGTAGTTTTTCCGCATATTGAGATGGAACTGCCTGTGTTCCAGTTTGTGCCCATTGCCCCTTGTCCTGTCGCTGGGCACCACTGAAAAGAGTCTGGCCCCTTCCTCTTGACATCCACCCTTTAGATATTTATAAGCGTAGAGGAGATCCCCTCTCAGTCTTCTCCAGACTAAACAGACCAAGCTCTCTAAGTCTTTCCTCATATGAGAGACGCTCCAGTCCCCTCATCATCCTTGTAGCCCTCCGTTGGACTCTCTCCAGTAGTTCCGTATCATCTTGATTGTGTGAGGACATATACACACAAGTTAAATACAACTGCTTCTCAGAAGGTACAATTTTAGACATTGTGCAATCTTATCCAAACTAGTAAGATTACTTATCAACGTGTAATGTGAAGTGTGGACACAATCTTTGCAGGATCAGCATGTATTTGATGATGTTTCAACTCAGGAATACTTCTGAAAAATGTATCTGATACAGTCAACTGTGTGGCAGTTTTCACACACAGAAAAATGTTAAAGCATGGGTTTACATCTGAATCTCAGCTTTTCTTCTTCAGAAGAAAGTTATTTTTAACAACCACATTGTCACAGGAGTGGAATAATGTTTAAAACATACTTGAAACATACGTGTATATATGGAGTACAGGGACAGCTGATAGATGCAGCAGAAACATAAGATACATTGAGGAAGGAAAAATAGCTAAGACTTAAAAGATGGAGGGGGTGGGGAGTTTAAGGTAGGATAAAACTAGTAATTTTTTTTTTTTTTAAAGTAATCATACGTGTCATCTACCTGTCAAAATTTAAGTATTTTCTATTTGTTTCTTTCATTAACTTTCCATTTCCTCCTTCCTTGGTGCTGCATTTTAGATCACCACATGCACTCTTAAAGGTCTGCATACTTATACACTATGTTGCTTCTTTCTAATCTCACCTGTTTCACAGTAAATGGAAGTAACATGCATTTAAAATGCTATATGAAAAGTGACTTTTCAATAGTTTTCTTAAAAACTATAAATAACTTACACTGCAGAAAGTTCACTTTATTTTTATTACTCTTAGTGGTAATGTAGGCAACTTGAAAAAGGCCATTCTAGAAAGAAATATTGCAGAAATGCACACCATGTTTAAGAGTAGAAGAATGATTCTTCTGCGTTATTTTGATCGTATTAATATGTATTTTGTTATAAGCAATCTTGTTGCAATGATCCAGCTGCCTAAAATACAAGATTATATTGTTAGTTTAATTAACCTCATGAAAAAAATATAAACCCGAGTCTGTAAAGATGTGTTATTAGGCAGAATTATTGGAATTCGGTTCATGTTGAATAGGATGTCTCATGCACTCTCATCTACTTTGTACTACTAATGGCTCAATTTCTGTGACAGCTTTTCTCATCTATTAATATTATCTGTGCCATTTCCTGCCATTTTTACAGTTATCATTAGAGAGATCTGAACATTTAGTCAGTGTTTTGAAGTAACATGCTGTTTGTGCAAATATATTAAAATGTACTCAGTGGAGCATCCAGAACGCTACATACTTGGTTTAAATATTTAAAGAGCTAGTTGTCTGAAAAAGGAGTCTGGGGACAGATGAAGCAACATGAGACCTTCTGTTGTCTAGATAGTATGTAATTCGCTAAATTGCTAAATATCTTTATCCTTAGAAGTTAGCATGTCTTATGTCCATTTTACCCTTTCCTGTTCTTTTCCCTTTTCTTTTCAGCCTTGTGATTTAAATATTGAAGATTATAATATTTTAAATTAACGGATGGAAGTTAGGGATATTACAAGTGGGTAACTGATGTCTGCTCTGTGACATTTGCAGTACAGAGAAGTATTTTAAATGGACAGATCTCAGAAATATTTCTTCACTATCTAAAATGTTTCAGTATATGGAGCTTTCAGGTGTACCCTGGAGACAGAAACAAACAGTTTTTCAGCACTAAATGTTTTAAAGTCACAAATTATGTAGGCAACTCAATAAATGTATCAGTAATCTTTGTTTTCCAACCTCGTTTGAAATATTTGCCCTTGATATATCAGAGTCACTTTGAAAAGATAGGAATGCGATATTTAATCTTTTAGAGTAGCTGTAGAGCTAAGGAAAACTTTTTCCATGTTTGATGTATTAGAACTACTTGGGCTGAAACAGAAAAGTTAACAGTTAATGCTCTGTATCTTCAGTGGAATTATAAGATGAAACTGAAGTGTTTGATATCCTGGAACTTTTCGAAGTTTGGAGAAAAAAGTTCAGTGTACCTTGTTATTGTAACAAATTATTTTTAAACTCCAAGAACTTTTGTACGTCGGGTAGACAGCACATAGCTATTCCATTTGTGAAAGCCCTCCTAGTGTGATAGTCAAACTTTTAAACAGAAGCTGCTTCTCATTTAGTAGCAAGTTGGTTCTCATTTATAGCAACCTTCCTTCAACAGTCTTTTTACCTTGTACTTTTTTTTACCATGCAAACTGCAAGCAGTAATTATCTGTAAAAGAACCTGTCATCAACTGAAGTGGATTCAAGTCCTGGCAGAAGCTGCAGGTTTTAAACTTAGACGGACACTTTTCCTGAGATAGAGTTGTCTGGTGGCTGGCTGATGGGCTGTGGGGTTTTGTTTTTCTTAGGTTCAAACAACTATACAGAGAAATATTACAGTACTTGTCAGCAAATGTTCTTCACTGGGTAAATTAGTTTGGAATCATCTTTCAGGGCTCTTTCCTGTGGGACAAAAGATTAGATGCTGTAAATTCAGGTAAAACTATTGAATTTTCACAGGTGAGTGAGGGTAATAAATATTAGGGAAGCACTAGACGTACCCATTCTTTATAAAATACGTGTATCTGTGTGTGTATATATGTCTATATAAAGACATATATATTTCTATATAAAGAAAAGGAAATTTAAGAAATTTTTGGTTTTTTGAAGATCACAGAGATAAGATCTCTGAGCTAATCAATGTATGTACATGTGTGGGGTTACGTTGTTTTAGGAACGTACACCTAAGTAATTTCCAATTGCTGTGCGCTCTCCCATTTTATTTGCCTGTAATTGAAAATGAGAGGTAAAGAAAACGGGTTTCTGGAGAAATTACTTTGTGTTCCTGTATTGTTTTACAACAGTGATGTCCTTCACAGATAGTTTGTTGATTGCTTTTAAATCATTGATTTCTTAAAACAATTCTGGGGTTGGTTTGTTTATTTGTTTTAGGTAGAGATAACAGATATTGAAACTGAGGAAAAAAGGTATGATCTCTTCCTGGGACTTCTGGAGTCTAGTCACCATCCGTCTGAGTTTCAGCACTTGATTTTACTCCTTCAAGCTTGGCCACCAATGGCCATGAGCAACAGGTAAGCATTTCTTCAAACAATCATGTAACAATGGAGTTTTAAGTCGTCTTGCTTGATAATATCATGTAGCTTTCAGTCAATGAATTCAAACATGATGAAGAGGAGTAAGACCTTTGGAAAGGGTCATACTGGGAAAAATAAATGGTTTATTTAAAGCAGAATTGAATCAATCAGTTTCTTGTAAAAACTATATATCCATATGTAGTATGTATCATGGAGGAGGCAGAAAACCATTTTATTGCCTGAACTGTTGCACAGGAGGGTTTTCTGTCTACTTAAATTTAAGTTATGTATTTTGCTCTTATTTTGGCAGTATGTGCAAAATTCATAAAAAGGAATAGAAAGTTCTGACTTTTTTCCATTCAAAGTTATACTTTGCAGAAAAGCCTTTGAAAGTTAATGTTCAGATGGCTGAGGCAGACAGTCTGCAGGAGGTCTGTGAGGGTAATGGTGCAAGCAATGGTGCTTCTCTTTTCTAGATACACTGCCTATTATTTCTGTCTCTGAATAAAGTATCTGAAAGTAAAGAATATATACTAGGGAAGACATATCCTAGCCCAACAATTTTAAATGATAATTATTTAAAACTTCAGCATTGTACCCATCAGAATGGGTATTTACTGAAAGTGTTACTTTGGAACATCTCGACTACATTATTTTTTACCAATTCTTCGGGTTTTGTCTGTGTGGTGGGTTGACCCTGGCTGGGAGCCAGGTGCCCACCAGAGCCGCTCTATCACTGCCCTTGTTCACTAGACAGGGGAGAAAAAGTATAACGAAAGGCTTGTGTGTCAAACTAGGGACAGGGACACTAATTATCGTCACGAGCAAAACAGACCG